CAATGTTCCTGCAAAGAATACAGCAATTGAGACACTATGGTTGTTGCTGCACTACATGGCAAATAATTGCTAAGCTTACGGGCATATACTGATGGAACCGCTTACTACTTATACTAGCTTATTCACAGAAACATGAACTGCTCATTTCTGCTAGATCGAAGCTAGTGCGTCCTGCATCATCAATCACTAATTTCGCCTACTTTTATTTCGTCAAGCAAAATACAAGAGAATGCATTTCTCCCAATATGTGCCATATTGCGAGATAAGTACGACATGTTTCATGCTCATGCACCTTACTTGATTGCATGACATATAAATGCTCACTTTACGAGTTTATTTATCAAATTACTACGCCAACCCTTAAGGTAGCTAGACGACTAAATTTGCTAAAGTTTTGCTTGTGGTGAGCTATATAGCTATCTAGGCATAATGTAGATGCATATTTTACGTTGTAGATTTGGATTACCTGAAATGTTTAAGATGTAATTCAATTAGATTTTGTATGTCGCTAATAGCACCCTAACCGCCTTGCAATGTCCTTTCTTCTAATCTTTCACACAGTGACATCTACTGAACAGGCCATGAAGTAGCATTGGGGTGAAACAGAAGGAGTGCCAAGTGGTAGAAGCCGCACAATGCAGTCGACACCGCCTACAGCGCTACCAATGAGAAAGCACTAAAGCACTGTCTTGGGCAAGCGAAACAGACTGCGCGCAGTCCAGCACCATGAAGCCCTTGTGGCGTGGAATACCACATTTCGCACCTCACGCCTTACGCCTCCCCCCTTCTTTCTTCCCAGACCAAACGCCAATGCCTACCAACATATTTTTGAGTACTGATCGAAGCATTTGATAGAGTAAAAAGGATAAATGACACTGGGACAAATTTGCAACTTATTGGTTGAGACACATTCACAAAAAATTGCATTACTTGCAAACTAAAAGTACTTGCTATTTTAGACCTGCAATAACTTTGTGTGGAAGTCGTAAAAAGTGGGTATTCAATTGCACTAACTTCTTAGTAAAATATTATATTCATTTATGAATATATAACTGATTTTGTGACCATCATTGTGCTTGAAAAAGCAAAATATGAACCCTACATTTGATTAAAGATAGTGTTCTATCCCGGCACTTACAGCGTATCGAATAGAAGTGCAAATTACTAAATTTAATAGACTACTTTAAATGAGCGGCATTTGTAGTGGTATTTGTAGGTCAAAATATTAAATCAAACAAATTGACAAAAATATTAAATATTAACAATTTACGGTTGGCTATTTTTGTCGGTTTTGCAGGTAGATATCTACTTTTTTTGCATAAAAAATAAAGCAAACACTCGTTTAATGTCAAGCCCCAAAAATTAGCGCACTTATTTAGTGTACAGTTATATGCTTTTGTAAATTGCACCATATTTAGGGGCAAAATATAATAGTGTAACTTAGGCATATTTAAATTGAAAGTACCTTAATATTTTGATGCATTTTAATTGGTGTTAAACTAACCGTAATTAGAGGGAGCTATAAGACGAATTCTCTTGCAGCCAGCAGAACCATATAACTAGAAATGTTTTCAATCACCTCTGCATTTTTAGGTAATAATGAGGGTAGCATAATTATTAGTTGAAGCACAGAGTACGCTACATACTGCTTTTCATAAAACGACATGTTTTATAAAACAATGAAGGATGGTTCTGCCAAGTTGCCACACGGGATAATTAGGAGATGAGGTTCAGAAAGTGAGATCTCCCGTGCAGATCATGTATGCATAGTATTCGTGCAGCTTGTGCACAAGCGTTTCCCGCTGAATTGCTAAAGATTTTGGACCCTGCATGATCATCATTCCCATAAATTTGCGTCACTCAAAATGATCTTCAAAGTAATATTGCCATGTCCATATGTTATAGTTTTGACTCAAATTTATGCAGTAATTTCAAAGGAGTATGTTGTTTATCGTTACAGGTATCCTTAGAATTACACAAAAAATGAATACAAGGACCTGATTCTGTTGTACCCCTTCTGATTTCTCAGGTGTTTATTCTACTTTCCGCGTAGATATGGGATTGTCAAATATCCAGTCAAAATATGGATTCCACACTCTGGCAGTGACTAATGGGTGATTGCAGAGAACGAAGCAGTGTATCTTTTACTCCTTCTACCCAATAGCGTGGCCTCCGACTGTCTTACTGCTAATAGCTTGCTATCAGTCCTAGTCGCGATGGGTAAGTCAATCTCGGATACTTCGCTCTACATGTATTTGCCCCCACTTCACCCAAAATGATGGTGGCGTGACTCGACTAAAAACCACTGCCCACA